TGTAAATATTGTTATAAGGAGTTCGGTCTAGACCTGCTCTATTTAAAATGTGTCCTGAGATAACTTCTGTTATGAATTGGCGCTATACAAATAAAATTGAATTAAATCGAATTGTTTTAATTGTTGGTTGTTGGTTCGATGCCCGGCTTCTCCTGCCACACATCGAAGTATCCTTGAGCAAGATACTGAACCCCAAATTGCTCCCAATGCTGTGCACCATTGTGTGAATGTGTATGAATGAGTTAGTTCCTGTTCAATGGGCTTTGCCATCACTGAGTGAATGCCTGGCATTTTGTCTTTTAGATTCTCTTGTTGACGATAAGATTATATCTGTGACCATCCACATGAATTAATTAACTAAAATTAGTTAATTAAAACAATGTGTATACTAAATTATTTAACATGTTAAAGAATAATTAACTCAAATATTCTATAATAAAAGGTATTTTTTAAGAAAGCAGCCTTCTGAGTACATTTACAAAGTGAGCAAAATCTACATAGAAAAGGTCTATTTTCATTGCAGCTGTGTTTATTAACAGCAATTTCATTACTATTTAAAGAGAAGGAAAATGAAGAGAGCCGTTGTGAAGCTCAGTGTGGTCAGCTCGGCCATCGCCATCTTGGCAGTCCTGACTCTAATCCAAAAATGGGCAAAAAGGTGGAGCGTGGTGGTGCTGAGGCAGGCTGAATGAAGCCTGGTTACTGAAACCAAGCACCTGTGACGGCACCTTTGTTACTTCTGTGTTGGGTTCATTTGCAGCCACAGAGGTTGCCACTTGCTAATGTTACTGTGTCTGTCAACAATGTCTGTGTCAGTGTAACAGTTAGAAGTTGTGGCTGCCTCAAACTTCTTTCTGTTTGACTAAATTAAGATTTTGTGGCTTTAGTTTGGGTTTACTGCTCACCACCATCGCTGCCAGTCACTGCAGGCTAAAGCAGCAGATAATACGGTAACAACAAGCAGGGCACAGCTTGTCAACCTTGTCTTGTGGGCGTTATTTCACTCATTTGACTCATTTACTACAGCTCACCAGTAAACAGTATTTACTCACACCAACTAGTGCAGTGATCTAACTATAATTCAACAGGTTTGACTGATAAAGTGCAACAACGAGACAAGAAAGACAAATAACCCAGAGATGAATAGCTTTGTGTTAGTAGTGTGATGCTGAACAGCAGTGGAGGAGTACTGACCTGTGGCCAGTGGCAGGGAGGAAGTAGATGCAGCAGTGGACTCTGCTGTCAGGTATTCTCCTCTTGCGGTTGACATGCAGCTCTTCTCTCAGGTACTTCTCATATTGCTCGTTGACGTACTTCACTATGGGCTCCCAGCTGTACAGGGGAGCAGCAGAGAACATTCCTGTCATTTCTCTACAGGATAAGGTGGGTACTGTTCTGTATTTTTCTTATTGTGAACAATTCCCAGACGAAAACCAACACTGACTTCCCTGCTCTGTCTGTGGCCCAACTTTGTTGAGGCAACATTTCTGACTGCACTGACTAAATAACTAAAAAATAATTCTAAATTTGAAGATGTTTTTACAATATCTTTCTATACTGCCTTTTGATTATAGCTATTATAATGTGTGTGATGGGGGACTAGGTCATGTGGGTGCATGTTGTGCAAACTAAAAAACTAATGAATATTACATCTCCCTCTCCCATCATCCCTCTGAGAGGCAAAAAGTTCATTTTGCACATAAAAAACCTGACAGCTATATCTGTGCTGTCAAACTGATTGTGATTGCTTGGTGCAGTGTAACTATAAAGGTAATTCATGTTTGGGTCTAATAAAGACTACATTTTCCATTAACCCTGTTGCTTCCTTGTTTGGACTAAAATAACTGAAATTAATTATTCACAAATATAATTGTAGCCAATTCTGGAAAGCGCCATCTTCTTCTCTGCAACTCACCAGTTCTCATTGTTGATCTGGTCTCCAAATCCTGGAGTGTCGATCACAGTCAGCTTCATCTTCACCCCCTTCTCTTCAATCACTAAACAGAATAGGACGGTAAAAAATAAAATATAAACAACATAAACAAAAATTTGATAACAAATATGACAGATAATAAAGACAAACATCAATGTTAGTTAACAACAGATTCCTAATTAAAGCAATTGAATGCAAAATCATTAATTTTATTTCTAAAATCTCCCAATGTTATCAGGAAATCAGTATTTAAAGTACATTGTAGTTTATTCTGAAGCTGAAAATCTAAAAGCAGTCTTTCCAAATTAACTCGGGGAACACGAAGGGTAATCCAGCCCTAAGAGCAGGTTTGATAGGCTCATACCTTGACGGCTAATAGTGAAGTGATGTAAGTTGGTAATTTGTTTAGGAGTGCTTTGCAGATAAACATATACCAGTGTTAATCTCTTCTCACAGAGAGGGAGGGCCAGCAAACTTTTTCATAGAGTACAATGATGGGTGCTGTAGCAGTCACCAGTAATAAAGAGCAGAGTGATATAGCATCCAAGGGTGATAACAGCAGCATGTCTATATATTACATAACTTTAATCCAAGACAGAGTGCGGTAGAGTCAACAATTCTTTTCCTACTAAACATGGGAAAGCAGAATGTATTTCTATTTAAATTTATAGGTGTGGACTCTTTCAATAGCTGTACCTAGTAAAATGTTAATTTGAAGTCTGTTATAATACTTTTTTTTGGCTCCAGAGAATACCATATATGGTCAAAATATATGGTTTATAATGAAAAACAGAGAAACACTACATACACAGATTTGAAAGAAGGCTGGTGCAATCAGTTTCTTTGATTTAATGTTGTGCTAGTGTTCTACAAAAGTCAAAGTGAACAGTTCAGTTCACTTTGCGTAGGCATATACCATGGAACCACAGTGTCATGGTTACTAATCTATTCCAGGATCCCTGTGTGATTGTGATTGGCTTTAGGGTTAAGGCTGGTTTGGAGTAAGGATTGGGATTATGGGATTAGAATTATCCTTGAAAGCATAGTAAGACAAAAGTTTGTGTGTATTTGTGGGATGAGCTCAAAGTGATACCACTCATATTCAATGAGTCATGTTTGTTACCATGTGTGAGTATTTGAGGTAAGCCAAGCAGTAGAGTAAAGGCTATCATTTGAGTCCATTGCCGTTGTTGAGTAAGAATGCAGGAATCTTGTCTGAGCGGAAGCATGAGAGCAAACATCTAGCACACCTGATCATTAAGATTTTCACTAACCTGCAATAAAGTAACACCACAGTATGTGGTACAGTACACAGACCAGTGCAGCAACTGGTTTCACTGGTTAACACACACTAAACCAGAGAGGAGGAAGTAACAAGAAAATGTAGAAAATAGAAAATGCATGTCTCTGCTGAAACACTGAAATATGCAATATGTAGAGTATATAATAAGCTGAGTATGTACACAATGGAGGTGAATTGACTTAAATCCATGATATAACTTACAGACTGGACATGTCATCATAATCAACTTATGTGCAGTCGATAGTTTAGCAAGGTAAAAGCAACATAATCGCATTTGTTGGAGAGACAAAACACTTAACTGCTAACATTAGCTTACTTAGGATGTGACTATATGTTGCTTTTGTCTTTTCAATGTAGGCTATGTTCACACTACAAGCCATAGCACTCAATTCTGATTTATTGCTCAGATCAGATCAGATCAGAGTTTTATTTTTTTTTTTGGCTGTTGACATTATTTATTAAATGTGGCCCATATCAGACTCCAGGTCCCAATCCTGAAGAGACCCACATGAGTGTAGATTTAATGTGCCATAAAAGTCACATAAGGTACACTGAGGTCACATTGCAAAAAAACAAGATATGTATCTTATTTGGACCACATATGAAAGTGACCTAAATCAGAATTGAAAAGTTCAGATTCCATGTGATTTGTGCTGTTCACACTAGCTGTATTCACACTGCAGGTAAAAGTGGCCTAAATCTGATTTTTTTGCTCATATGTTAATCAGATCAGATTTTTTAATGACAGTGTGAACAGCACAAATCACATGTAATCTGATCTTTTCAATTCTGATTTGGGCCACTTTCATATGTGGTTCAAATCAGATACAGGTGTGATTTCTTTGTAACGCAACCTCATGTGAACATATCAAAATTTGTTACATCTACGTTCGCCATGCGGGTCACTTCAGGACTGGGACACTGGAATCTTAAATGGGCCACATTAACAACAATATCATTGACTTTTATTTAACTGGACTGAAAACAAATGTTCATTGCATTGGTGTTATAGGTGGTTAAGTATAAGACTAATCTTGTTTGTGCTTTTATTTTTATTTTTTTTTTTGTCCAGCTGGATGGATGACGAGCTGGTGTCCGCTCTGACTCCCAAGCTGATCGGGGAGCGTCCAAACACCTACACCTACACCAAAGCCTTGGCTGAGTACATGGTGCAACAGGAGGCTGGAGACCTCAATGTAGCCATCATCAGACCATCCATAGTAGGAGCAAGCTGGAAAGAGCCCTTCCCAGTGAGTGATTCAGGCTGTATGTTACATGATTTCAATGAAAATTCACTGAACCTCAGATTCATTTTGGATGCTGTGTAAAATGTATCAAGAAAGAGCAAAGCATACTGCAGAAACACAGATAACAGCAGGAGTTCGTCCTATTTTCAAAATATGTGGCAGTATGTTGAATAATACAGTAGGAATTTTGCATTTAAGCGTTAAAGACAGAAAAATACTTTCTTAGAACAAGGTCATGTTGAAAAAAGACAAGTCGTTCTTGAGCTGCTACCTTTGAGCATAGGGTATGAAGCTGGTCGTCATAGTGAGCAGTGTTTATTGACTTCTTAAAACAATGACTATCTCCACTTACACAGACGGGGAGTGTCATGTCATGTTTTCAGGTGTGTGTTGAATACCACCTATGCCACTGGTTTTAAAAAAACTGTAGTGAGAAATAAAGTCAATCTATCAGCACAGATCTGTCGCGGCCGTTGCACAGGACACAATGCAGATTTCGATCACGCCCCTACTGTCTCCTATCTGAAAGCCGGAAGGCACTCTGCTGCTGCCAACACTGAGGCGTTGGGAGCAGTGGAGCAGCCCGTGGTGAGCCAACTCCCACCACCGTGGTAGGAATGTGAGGAATGTGGACTAAAGGAGCTCTGTGCACCTTTTGCTGAATCACTGTGGAAAGTGGGACTGTTACATTTCTGGTTGAGGAAAGTTTGAGAAATTGAGTTACAGATGGCTCCTGTCTGAATATCTGAAAGGGACATTTCAGCTTTCATACTTGTGCGTGCATTTAGGGCTGCGTCTAACAATGTGATCGCTTGTATGACTGAATCATATAGTCTATGAAATGTATAACCAGTACCATCATATTATTATAATAAATACCATCACATGTCAGCACAGCCTAAAGCATATTGAAGTGGCTTATTTTTTCATCACAAATACCAGTATATTCTTTATATTATCATATAAACTGGTGAACTATAACCAGCTTTTTTTTTTTTTTTTTGACCGATGTAATTGACTTAATAGTTTGTTTAGTAGTTTTACTGTCAGAAAATAAATGTGTTCATTTTCTTGATCTTTGTTTCAGTGCTAATTGTACGTTTCCTCTGACTGTTCTTTCAGGGTTGGATTGATAACTTCAATGGACCTAGTGGAATATTCATTGCAGTAAGTACTGAGTCTGTTTAGGTCTATACGGTTATGAAATGTTGTTTTCTCAGTACTAATTTTTTATATAAAATAGATTTCACCAATACCTTATCTCTTCTTGTCATCCATGTATGACACAAAGCTGCATCAGGAAAGGTTATGTACAAATGAAGCAGTCTTAGTGCCCCGAATCTTGTGTGTTACCTACTGAAGGTTTAAATTCTTTAAATCACAGATTGACAACTTACTCCATAGACCTTTTTCACAGCAACTATTTTATGTGAAATTGTAGGGTAAACACTGGTGTTACCAATGATTCCTAACGAAGGTTCTGTTCCATTGAGGGACTAACAGAGTCAGGGTGCTGCTGTTGTGCATGTTTGCTCACTGGTACTGCTGTGAAAAAGGTTTATAGACACACCATGGAGAAATGTACTTGCATGGTGTGGTTTAAAAGCAGAAAGGATGGGAAATGGCGTGGTTAGGGTTGTAAACAAACTTTGGAGCTAGCAGAAAGTCCACTAAGTTATAGATTATACTATTTATTTTTATTTTTTTGTTACTCCTGTCATTATACTCACTGCAGCTAAACAACACAACCCCCTACTTTCTCTCTTAAACTGGCTGGAGAGCCCCCTGATTTTGTTTATCTAAATTCAATTAACCAAAGCGTGTCAGTTTGCAACCAGAAGCGTCTTGCTCCATTGTCCATAGAGAAGGAACCTTCTTTACTGATGTACTGTGTAGTTTTCAGCAGCCCGTTTTGGTTCTTAGAGTTTCTTAATTCAAGATTATCAGTTGCATTAATGTTCTTTCTTTCGCCTTCTTTAGGCTGGTAAGGGCATCCTGCGTACAATGAGAGCGTCTAATGATGCCGTGGCTGACTTGGTACCTGTGGACGTGGTCATCAACGCAACACTGGCTGCCGCTTGGTACTCTGGATCACAGACGCTCAACAGGTTGAAGAGACAAACATTTAATCATGTTTTCTCACATACATCCTCTGGTCACAATCTATTGAAATACCCTTTTTAAAGTAAAACTGAGTAGCCTTACTCTGAACTGTTCTTCCTTATAACAGGCCTGGAAACATCCTGGTTTACAACTGCACAACTGGTGGGATCAACCCGTTTCACTGGGGGGAAGTCGGTATGATGTCTCTTTTTATCTTACCTAAACACAGCCTCTTTAAAGGCCCCTGACAGTTGAAGCTTAAGTTTTAAATGTAGCCTCTAATGACAGACCCCGTTGTAATCTGATCCACTACCTGCCACACCCAGACTGAGAGCTTTTGTTCACCTGTTACTTATGGATCCTGGTTTGTAGCTGGATCATTAGAGTTGTTACACATGCATTGTTTAGAGGTGATTATAGATATTTCTCACAGGCATTAAACAACATACACTACCGTTCAAAAGTTTGGGGTCACTTAGCTGAAAACTGTTGTGCTGATTA